CCCGAGTAATACATACTAAATAGGCACAACTAATTGAGGGCCCTTCAATCAACCACATGAATAATATAGTTGAACAAATAGAGAAAATACAACAGCAAATTTATATTAACGTAACAAGAAAATCATCCTTCAATAGGTTCCATCAAAACCCTAGATTAGGAATTTAGATACTCATACTCATAGTAACAATATCTCAAATATTTTGCATAATTAAAGTACAGAGTAAAGATGAAAGGATGTAGAAATCGATGATTCTAACTCCCAACGGGTGATTCCACAAGCTATTCTTGTCTCCGGTTGCAAAAGTACTCCAAAGTGGCGTTTTTAGGTTTATTTGTATGTTTAGGAAAAGACCTAAACGTGTTGGCAAAGTCCTAGTCAAACCCGGAGACGAAATAAGGTTTCAAAACTCGAATTGTGCGTGCTGAGACCTGGCCTCGCGAGGCCTAACGCCTGGTGGACCTCGCCCCAGGCCTGGCGTCGCCAGGTATAAAGCTTAGTCAATCTCGCTTCTGCCTCGCCTCGCCAGGTCTATCACCTGGCCTTAGCCTGGCGTCGCCAGGTATAACGCCTACTCTAGGCTTGGCTTCGCCAGGTATAACGCCTGGTGTAGGCCTGGCTTCGCCAGCTTCTCCTTTTAAACTGCTCCCGAGCACGCTTTCGACTTTTAAGTATCCCTTTTTCTCTACTTTCATCTCTAATTTACCTATACATAAAATGGCCTTCATTACGAGCAAATAAAGTGTAATTTATCATTAAAGCATATAAAATGCAAGGCGAATAGTGTGCTAAACCATGAATTATAGCCACACATCAATACCCTCACTTATACATTGCCTGTCCTCGAGCAATCAGACCACACTTACAGACACAACCTCACTAAGCAATTCCCTTAACTCCTTGCACCAAGAATATTTAAAATAGTCTAAGCACTACGGTGTAACATCCTCGCCTCAAGATTTGACTCACATACCATGACTTATTCACAAATCACTTACTTACTCTAACATGGAGGTCAATGACATTACCTTTCCTTTATGAATCATGTGCCCTCACCCAACAAAGAGCTCAGTTCCACACACGATGAATTTTAAGAATGTAGGAACTCAAGATAGGAAAAATTCACTCGCTCTCAGAAATAACATTCATATGCCACAAGTGATGCACCATAGGCTTGCCCGTAGTATAATACTCTATTAATCGAGCTTATTCAGTCTAAGATCAAATAGAACTTTGATTGGTTATAATGTAGGTTGCGGGTCGGGTAGGATATATTTGGATATGTGAGTGACTACACCTCCCTAAGCACTTTAATACATATACTTTAACATTCAAGCCCATACTTATGTCAAACCAAAACTCCACCTTCACATCAATGTATATTACCCCATACTTCTTTAAGCACAATTACATTAAGAGTCACCACTTATCAAAGAATATTCTTTTTCACAGCACTACAACTATTTTTTTTCTTTTTTTAATTCAAGCGACTCTTACTTTTTCAAAACAGTGCACCTTTCTCCTTATTTCATTAGTTCCACTCAAAAGCCAAACCAACCACCCCACACTTTAACTTTTACAATGTTCATAACAATTCAAGTACTCATTAGAGGTGAAAAGGTTCAAATAGATGGTTAATTCAAACAATTGGGTAAGGCTTGAAGTGTGGTTGCCAAATAAACAGGATTACAGGCTCAAAGGGGTTAACTATGATACATAACTATTAGGTGGGTAAACTATAAATATCTGGCTTAACAAAGAAACACCTATATCACTTCTCAGACTGAACAAGACTACTATTTCGCTTTGCACACACACATGGCAAGTTTTAGACATCAAATGCAATGCACAAAATACATACAAAACTCACACACATATGGCACATAACTCACTCAGGATTAGTTTCATCGCGACACTCTAGTCAAAGCAGTTAAGCAAAATTGGGAATCTACGATTTAAGGTACTTATGCTAGAGTCAAAAATCGAGCCTAAGTGTCACGACCATAGTACTAACTATTCTCAAGGCATAACAAAGCTAAGAGATATTGCTACAATTAAATGCATAGCTTTGTGGTTCCTACTCCTAAAAATTAAAACTAACTACACCCGATTCAACTAAAAGCCCTTGGAAAAGAACCGCAGACCAAAGAAAAACCAAGGGAAAATTACTACACAACCTAAAAAATCTTTCTTTTTTTGTGTTTTTCTCTAGACTTACTTCCCTCAAGAAAACTGTCTAGAAGATCCATCACCGGGAAGAGTCCAGTTATTCCTTCTTTTTTTAACTAAACAAATAACAAAAACAAATCACTAAACCAAATTCTTAAAACAAATAACTAAAACAATTATCTAACAAAAGCGACACTTACTAAAACAACAAAACAACAACTACAAGTAATTTCTACAAGTCCCCACCCCTCACTTAGATCATGCATTGTCCTCAGTGCATGCACAAATTGACAAAACAAGACAAATGAGTAGGGTTCAAGGAAACTCCCTGATCAAATTGCGTCCTCCTCCTCTGAGGCTCTCCACTCTTTATCATGTGCTTCCTCCTCCTCATCTGACTGCTCTGGCTCGGCCTCGGACTGCTCAGGAGTGTTGACATCCTTATCGTCGGGGAGTCTATAGCCATCACCTATCCCAACCAGCTGTTGGGCATGAGCATTAAGCGAGTACCGCTGCTCCAATAAGGTCATCTCCTTAGATGTGGCTGGCCGACTCCCTATCCTCAACTGCAAATCCATCATCCCATGGAGATGGGCCATAAAACTATCATCCCGAGCATTGCGCTCGGTACCTGTCAAAGATGTCATGGCAGTTTCTTCTTTCAGCCGGAGACTAGTGATGTCCGTTTGTCGTAGAGGCTGTTCGATGGTGTGGTCAAACTCTGGCTCCTGCTCAACCTCCTCGTGTCTTAAGTACCGAGTTAGAAAATTGGCAAATGGCATTCGATCGACTTTTTTACTCGTTCTGACTAAAGACATCTGGTAGCGGATCAAATGACCCACATTTACCCTTTGACTCGTCATAAGGAAGTAGAGCACATAGGTTCTCTCACGGCTAATAAGCGTGTCATGATTGCACGGCAAGAGTCATGCATTTATCAGTTTAAGCCACACTTGAGTCTCCGCCCTCATCTTTTTCTTGGGGAACCTCTTGTGACGATTAGTTTTCTTATCCTAGACCCATGCTGCCGTAGAATCGACACCACAAAACGTGTGTCTCAGCTCTCTATATGTAGGCCGGCGAATGAAGTGGTCCAATGGCTCTACATGAACATCCGGAGCACCTAAAAAGTTACATATAGTCGTGGCTGAAAAATCTATCAATCGCCCACAAATCGGCACCAGCTGTTCAGTACTCTGCGGATCAAACCCTGCATAGAATTCTTGGACTAAGTTGAGATTAATGTTCCCTTTGTTCTTGAATACATAGCTCAACCCCATATCTCGAATGCCCCTCCAAATTGCCCGATACTTTGCTTTCAAGCTGCGTTCGTGGATAGCTGCTTCTGGGTATACATGTTTAGGCCTATAACGCCTGTACCAATCCTTAGTGTGTGGTGGTATGTTGTTGATGCCAAACTCCCGTTGGCCTTGTGGTTGTTGATGCATGGCTGCTATAACTGCCACAACTTGCACTCCACTTAGATTGGAGGTAGCTTCTCCCTCTTTTCTCTTCTTTGGGGGAGGTGCGAAGGTCGCATTTGCTTTAGCCGGCGTAGTGGAAGTAGCCTTTCCTTTGCATGTGTCTTTTCTCGGAGTCATCTTTGTTCCTACACAAGTAATCATTAATCAGTTAAAACTATAATACACATTACACACATAGTGTTGCCCAACATTCTGAGGTTACTCAGACTTCACCTCGTATTTTCTTAACATTAGCATCAAACAACAACCCATGGGCTACCCGTGAGCCACCCCACACTTAAGATTTTAACGTGGTGCGCGACTACACAACACTAGTCTATTAATCCCGGAGACTCGGGCTCCGATGGGGACAAGGAATGCGATTGAGGCATTATAGCAAATACTTAGCATGCAACTAGTGCCATGGGAGTGCTTATAGGGGTGAGGTATTGCCTCACCCTCCCAAATCGGCTTGGGAGTTTCTTACTACCACTTATTTACACAATAACAACACCATCCTATGGGGTTCATAGGGTTGGGACACAGAAACACAATATTACAATGAAGAACAACCCCAAATATTTGTGGATAATATCATACCTTCATCAAACTCGAAATGAGAAAGAAAGAAGATAAAAAATCATACCTTAGATGTTGTAAGATGTGGGCTTTGCCTTTGAACTGTTGTTTTCAGTAATTAGAGGAGGAAAAAAAACTTGCTTGACTTCAATGGGGTTGGGATAGGGATGGATGGCAGTGTACGTATGTGAGTGTTTTGTGAGGAGTGTAGTGATTTAGGTTAAGGTTTTATTCTATGTTAGTTTGGGCGTTTAAGTTAGAGTTCAAGAAGGGAGGGGTTAAAAGAAATAAGGGACAAAAATTAAAATAAGTTGAAGAAAAATACTTACCTGGCCTTATCCCATACGGCACCAGGCTTAGAGCCTGGTGCATCTGGCCTTAGCCCAGGTGACGCCAGGCATAGCGCCTGATGCACATGGCATTAGACCAGGCGACGCCAGGCATAGCGCCTGATGCACCTGGCCTTAGACCCGGCGACGCCAGGCATAACGCCAGGTGTGCCTAGCTTTACCCCTCGCGGCGCGAGCTATTGCGCCTGGTTTCCTTCATGTGATGCTTAAAGCTCTGCTCGTCTCGCCCAAAATCACCTGCAAACTTGTTAGTACCTTAAAACAAAAAGAAAAATTCTAACTACACTAAAAATCAACTACGAATTGGGTTGCCTCCCAACGAGCACCTCAGTTAACGTCGCGAGTCGCGACACGACGAATACAACATTACAACGTTACAATGGGTTGCCTCCCATGAAGCGCCTGATTTAACGTCGCGTCACGACGTGGATAATTGCACTTAAGACTCGCTTAATCTTGGTGGCTCGAGCAAATGAGTCACTGACACTACTTTCGCATCTTTCATGCCCAAATAATGTTTTAACGTGTGCCCATTGACCCTAAACGTGTGAGAGTTATTTGCTACAGCAATATCTACGGCTCCGGTCGGGTAAATCTCTACCACACTAAATGGTCCTGACCATCTTGACTTTAATTTACCCGGAAATAACCTCAATCTTGAATTGTATAGCAATACCATATCTCCGAGTTTAAAACTCCGCTCAAGACTGTTTTTATCATGCATCATTTTCATTCTCTCCTTGTATAATCTTGTGCTCTCAAAAGCATGGTAACAAAATTCATCAAGCTCGTGTAACTCTGTGACTCTACTTGTACCCACAACTTCTTTATCAAGATTAAGCTGCCTCAATGCCCACAAAGCTCTATGCTCCAACTCCATTGGTAAGTGACATGCCTTCCCAAACACCAATTTATATGGCGATATGCCAATTGGAGTTTTGAAAGCGGTACGGTAGGCCCAGAGTGCATCATTTAGTTTTCTCGCCCAATCCGTTCTTGTAGCATTCACAATCTTTGTTAAACGCTCTTTATCTCTCTGTTCGAAACTTCTACTTGCCCACTCGTTTGTGGATAGTATAGAGTGGCGACCTTGTGGCGTACATCATACTTTTCTAACAACTTTGCGAAGGCTCGATTACAGAAGTGAGTGTCTCTGTTACTGATTATTGCCCTTGGAGTGCCAAATCGGGTGAATATATTCTTTCTCAAAAAGCCAATTACCCCCTTTGCATCATTTGTAGGGAGTGCTATAACTTCCACCTATTTGGACATGTAGTCCACAGCTACGAGTATGTATTTGTTGCCATATGAGCTGATGAAAGGCCCCATGAAATCGATTCCCCATACATCAAACACTTCTACCTCCTGAATTGGGTTCATAGGCATCTCATATCGGCGGGAAATATTCCCTGTTCGTTGGCATTCATTACAACCTTTCACCCATAAGTGTGCATCTTTGAACAATGTCGGCCAGTAGAAGCCCGGCTCCAAGACTTTCGCAGCTGTCCTTACTCCCCCGAAATGGCCACCATATGGTGACGCGAGACACGCTTGCAAAATAGAAGATTGGTCCATCTCGGGGATACACCTCCGGATCATATTATCAATACAAATCCTGAACAAATAAGGCTCATTCCAATAATATATGCGACAGTCGCGAAAGAACTTTTTCCTTTGAACAGAAGAAAGGTCATATGGGACAATACCGCTTGCCAGGTAGTTTGTAATATCTGCATACCATGGCGCTACCTCAGGACTCGTGGCTAGTAGTTGTTCATCTGGGAAGGTCTCCACAATCTCTTCCACTTCAACCTTTTTCTTGGCTCCTTCCAGCCTGGATAAGTGGTCATCCACTTGGTTCTCCGTTCCCTTTCGGTCACGGATTTCCAAGTCAAATTCTTGCAGTAGTAGCACCCATTGAATCAGGCGTGGCTTTGAATCCTTCTTATTAATTAAGTACCTGAGAGCATCATGGTCAGTATAAACAATTATCTTAGAGCCTATCAGGTATGACCTTAATTTGTCAAATGCGAACACCACTGCTAGCATCTCCTTCTCGGCCACCGTGTAATTTAGTTGGGCACCACTCAAAGTTCTACTAGCATAATATATTTGATGCATGACTTTGTATTTGCGCTGTCCAAGCACTGCTCCTACAGCATAGTCGCTTGCGTCACACATCAGCTCAAACGGTTGCTCCCAGTCAGGTGCAACTATGATGGGTGTTGTCACCAGCCTCTTCTTCAATTCTTCAAAAGCTACCCTGCAATCATCAGAAGACACAAAATGGTGATCTTTTTCAAGCAATTTACACAAAAGGGTTAGCAATTTTGGACAAATCCTTTATAAATCTTCTATAGAAGCCGGCGTGGCCCAGGAAACTTCTTATTGCCTTGATGTACGTCGGTGGTGGAAGCTTTTCGATCACATCAACTTTGGCACGATCTACCTCAATGCCCTTACTCGGCACTAGGTGCCCCAAGACTATACCCTCATGTACCATGAAATGGTACTTTTTCCAGTTAAGTACCAGATTCGTCTCAACACATCTTTTCAGCACTCTTTTCAAATTCCTTAGACAATCATCGAATGAGTCTCCCACCACCGAGAAATCATCCATAAAGACCTTCATGATGTTCTCAATCATATCAGTGAAGATGGCCATCATGCACCTTTGAAATGTGGCAGGTGCATTACATAGACCGAACAACATCCTCCGAAAGGCGTAGATGCCATATGGACAAGTGAATGATATTTTCTCTCCATCTTCCGGGGCAATGGAGATTTGATTATACCCCGAGAATCCATCTAGAAAGCAAAAGTGGGACTTCCCTGCCAATCTATCTAGCATTTGATCAATGAACGGGAAGGGAAAATGGTCTTTTAGGGTGGCTTTGTTCAATCTTCTGTAGTCCATACAAATTCGCCATCCCGTGAATGTTCTTGTTGATATCAACTCATTGTTATCATTTTGCACTACAGTCATCCCACCTTTCATAGGCACACATTGGACTGGGCTGATCCAGTTGCTGTCTGAGATAGGGAAGATGATTCTCGCATCTAACCACTTTATCACCTCCTTTTTTACAACTTCCTTCATGTTGGGGTTCATCCTTCTTTGATTTTCTCTGGAAGGGTTGTGTCCATCTTTCAGTAGAATCTTATGCATACAGAAGGCCGGGCTGATACCCTTAATATCTCAATGGTCCAACTAATTGCAGTTTTGCACTCACTCAATACCTTCCAAAGTTGTTCTTTCTGCACATCTAACAAACCAGATGAGATAATAACAGGTAAAGGTGAGCTAGGTCCTAAGAAAGCATACCTGAGGTGAGGTGGTAGCGGCTTTAGCTCCAACTTTGGTGGCTCTTCTATCGATGGCTTAGCTGGAGGAATTTTTCTTTCTTCTAAGTGCAAAGGCTCAAATTCGAGATCTCTTTTCCAAAAACCTTGGCCTTCAAGAGCAAGTAACCATTCCGCCAAATCCTCTTCATTTACTTCATCTAAGTTCATGAGACAAGCTTCTAGAGGGTCTTTAGCGTTCAAGGTTTCATCTTCCTCCTCTAAAATTACATCCACGACTTCTATTAGAGAGCAGTTAGCAAATTCATTTGGCCGCCGCATAGATTTCTGCACGTTGAATGTTATTTCTTCATCATTTAGTCTCATTTTGAGCTCTCCATTCTCACAGTCGATTAAAGCTCTCCCAGTGGCCAAGAATGGTCTTCCCAAAATTATGGGAATCTCCTCGTCAACCCGGCAGTCTAGAATGACAAAATTTGCTGGGAACACAAACTTCCCAACCTGTACTAATACATCATCAAGGATATCAGAGGGCCTCTTCACTGTCCTGTCGGCCAGCTGTAGTAACATGGACGTGGGTCTAGCTCTTCCAATGCCTAACCTTTTATATATAGCCAAGGGCATCAAGTTTATGCTTGCCCCAAAATCACAAAGTGCCTTAGCAAATGCATAGTTGCCAATTGTGCATGGGATTGTGAAACTCCCTGGATCAGATAACTTCTCAGTTCTGGGTCTCATCACAACAACACTACATGTCTAAGTTAGTGTAACTGTGGCCAAGTCTTGAAAGTTGAACTTACGAGACATCAAGTCCATCATCATTTTTGCATAACCAGGCATTTCCTTTAAGACGTCAATCAATGGAATATTAACCTGAATTTGTTTCAACATCTCCAAGAATTTCTTATACTGCTCATCTTTTTTATATTTGGCCAATCTCTGGGGGGGAAAGGTGCTAGAGGCCGCTTCTTTCCTGTGATTTGATTTTGAACTTGCTTAGGCACTGCTTCTACTGACGTTTCTTATGTTACCTCAGTCTCCTTCGCAACCTCTTTTTCTTTGCTTATGCTCTCTTATGCATGTTGTACCGTCACCTATGTCAACCTTGTTGAATCATCTATCTCAATTGGTACTAGCACAAGTGTTTCAGTAGGTCGAATTTCACGAGCCATCTATTGCTCCAGATCTAGGTCTCTACCATTTCGTAGACTCACTACCATAAGCTGTTCCGGGCCCTGTTCTTTTGGATTGACTTGTGTGTCTGCAGGTAACGTCCATTGGGGACAATTGTTTAAAGCCATAGAAATCTATCCTAATTGAATCTCAATATCCTTTATCACTGATTCATGTGAGTCTACTCTCTGTTGCATATTTCCCGTGGACCCAATCAGCTGTTGCAGCATTCCCTGAAGTTCAGTGAAACCATCATCTTGTCTCATAATCTGTTGTTGATTGGATTTTCTATTCCATCATCCATGTCTGGTTCGATTTGTTCAGTTAAGTTTTGTTGCTGTTTGCTTTTCTTGTTTGCACGATTTAGTGCCTTGAAAACTTTCTCAGGATCTGATAACGCTTCGAGCAGTTCACCAGTTCTTGAGGAGTTCATAGGCATGCATTTGTAACACCCAAGACTACAAACGTTAGAATTTCAATGTATTTGATTTAGAATGAAGAAAATTGACTACACTAAGAATTCTAGCACTTCTTTTTGCTGGAATCAATAACACCGTTAAGTCCCCGATAATGACGCCAAAATTTGATCACGCCCAACTATGCCTTATAAAAAGGACAAGCGGTCGTCGCAAATATATTCCGGCTAATAAGTCTGGAGTCAAATCCCACAGGGAATTAACCTATCAACCACAGTTGCTAGACCCGCATAAATTCATGCAATCAATTTTTAGAAATATTTGAATAATAATTTGGATGTTTATTAACTAAATATTACGTAATGAAAATATGCTAACAAATGACTAACTACGAACGGTTTGTAAACAAGAATTGGAAAGATCTAAGGTTGTGATTTCCCCTATTGTCGGAATCTTTTCCGCTATGTTTTTTATATCAGTGAAGATGGAATGACTAACCATGAAATGGCACTTTTTTCCAGTTGAGTACCAGATTCGTCTCAACACATCTTTTCAGCACTCTTTTCAAATTCCTTAGACAATCATCGAATGAGTCTCCCACCACCGAGAAATCATCCATAAAGACCTTCATGATGTTCTCAATCATATCAGTGAAGATGGCCATCATGCACCTTCGAAATGTGGCAGGTGCATTGCATAGACCGAACAACATCCTCCGAAAGGCGTAGATGCCATATGGACAAGTGAATGATGTTTTCTCTCTATCTTCTGGGGCAATGGAGATTTGATTATACCCCGAGAATCCATCTAGAATGCAAAAGTGGAACTTCCCTGCCAATCTATCTAGCATTTGATCAATGAACGGGAAGGGAAAATGGTCTTTTAGGGTGGCTTTGTTCAATCTTCTGTAGTCCAAACAAATTCGCCATCCCGTGAATGTTCTTGTTGATATTAACTCATTGTTATCATTTTACACTACAGTCATCCC